AGTTAATGACTTGCGACCACGAAATGGAAAATTAATGCCGCCTGGTTTCTGTTCGTTTAAATTTTATTATTATTATCGCGTTCGCTGCTAGGATTTATTTACTCGCTTGTAAATTGAGATTCATTGCTCGGTAGAAAAATGCAAGGTTTCTTTTTAAAAACAATAAAATAAATAACGAAATTTATTTTGCATTATAAATATCTTCATATCAGTGTTGTCAGGTTTAAAATATAGAATCTTTCTTAAGAAAAATATTATTTTACGACCTCGTTTAAGTAGGTGCGAGTGTGCTGTGCGGATACAGGCCCTTGTAAAGATGGGCCATGTCGACGACAACTTTAACTGTCGCGAATTCCACGTGCCGAGACTATCACAGCACTTCGCGAAGAGTTCTTCGCAGCACGATATACACCGTTAACTCAATAACCTCCTTATTTCCTTCGACCTCATTTCCTAACCCGTCGAACGTTACACCGACCCTGGCACGTCTCTTAAAGCTGATGGCCTAGCATCGGCGCCGAGAAAAATAGATTAATAACACGGCGACATGTAAAAGCGCAGCGTGTGGTTAACGATACGAAATCACAAAGAGCGTATCGTAAAAGCAATCGCGGTCCCGTGTATGCACTATGAACAAATATAACGTTGCATTTCGCAACATTAATTATGTGAGTACAAATGTCAATCGATATAAAGTGACACAATTGTGTTTTACAGCGAACGGAATGATTTCTGATCATTCATAAATTTTATTGTATCGATTTTCGAGACGTCCTAATCATGGATAGCACAAATAGTCTACAAAGTTTACACAGTAAAGTTGATGCAAAAGATTTATCGCTTCTTCGTGAAGGTTTATTTTAAATAAAGTTATTGATTTTTATTCGAAGAGCTCAAAGTTTTTTAAGTCAAGCGTATAAAAACTTGTTTGTAGATAAAAAATGTATGAATTCAATTTTAATTCATGAAAATTTATTTGAAACCTCGCAATTCTGTCTTCAATATTAGTTCACGAGCTGACAAATCTTTTGCACCAACCTAATAGTTCAATCTTAATCTCTGTATTAATATTGAATCTATATTTGCATTTATTCATCCAGACGCATTGAGCAACGATCCGCAAAATAATGTGCACTCGCGCCTGCATCGATCATCCTCGTGTAACGGAAAACATATCGCTTAAGATATTCCATCTCTTTGCTCATCGCGCGACATCCGTCAATATCGCGTTCGTCGCATTAAAATTCACCGGTGTGCTCTTCGATTTAGTCGAATTTTCAAGACGCCTCTTGTTCCAGGCGCCCGGGTTATAACCGGCGCGCTCGCGATTCGCGTCGAGCCTTATTTTGCATTCGACGGCGAGTTGCGGCGCGTAATATGAAAAATACATAATTCTTCGACGGAAAGTGCCAATAATACGTACATCATGTTTCTGACCGGCGTACCGCGATATTTCACGCCGGACCGGGGGCTCGGAAACGCGCGGCGCGACGTACCATGTATACGCCGGGACGCGCGCCACACGCGAGCCATTTTATTTTGCAATATAATGCTTGACTCCTCGTCGTCCGCGCGGCTTGACATATTGGACGTGATAGGGAGTAATCTGTTATACCGCCCTGTGTCCACGATAGAAGCCTGCAGGCGGCAACCCCCTCCCCCACCCGTCCCCGCTGCATCTACGGTATGCACTGGAACGACCGATATATTTCCCGGCATGCACTTCCGTACGATTCGTACGGAAAATATAGTGGTCCACGCGCGAGCGCGAACATGAATGCGTGAGCCAGATCGGCGATAAATCAGACCGCAACGTAAATAAAATCTTATGGAAACGTCCGGGAGAACGTCTTTTACGTTCTTTTTCCGGGGCCAATTTGAGATTGTCCGCGGCGCGCACGGCGCGGGCTGGTTCGAAGAACTGTCCGACTACATTATTGACTTCAATGCTAACAATAGGAGCGATGTATATAATAGTAGATAATGCTCCTAGAAATAAATGTGTAAACATTATTTGCAAAGAAACTCGATATTGTGCAAACACAGATAATACGGATATCGTAAAGTATATTTCGCGCTATTTTTTGTTTATGTACAATTGTGTTTTCTGCAATGTCTTGTTATAATTTTGAAATTTTACTCCTAGCAATTTTTTAAAATTGAAATTTTTATAGGAACGGTGTGCCCGTAATAAATTAAAACTTTATGGATTGTGTTTAAATATGTTCGTCAATAGTTGTTACGATCTTTATTTCATGTTGCTCTTAATTGCTTTAAAAATCAATTTTAGCGCATTTACATTTATAAGAGAAGAAATGCCAAATTTATATTCAATCGAATATAAATTGAATAATGCAATTTGTCTTTTTTTTTTTTTATTAGAACTTCAATAAAATATTTATCAGATATTTATGAAACGTATATCAAAGCCGAGAGCAGCGTACGGAAAATTCTGACTGATTCTTCACCATTAATCGCGCGAGAATTACGTCTGGAACTCGAAAGGCATTTCGGATAATCCCGGATGGCGTTGCGCAATATTCCGACGAATGCATCGGTGCATCCCGATGGCGCATGTCTATCGAAAAACCAAAGAGATCTCTCTGCTGTAGTTTCGCTTGGCTGGGGCCAGGATCAGGGATGGCACTCGAGACACACCCGAGGGATTTTGGGACGAAAAGTTCCGCTAGAAACTCCGGTCTCTCTCGCTTATCCAGAAGCCCTCATCTCTGCATCGCGCGCCTCTCGCTGCTTTTCGCAGTGCACGGAGTTAGGCTGCATATAGTTGTGTTTCACGAACGCGCTGCACTGACCCAATCGAAAGCTATCGTGAATTTTTTTTAAATAGGATTTAAAGTTTGTACGACGAATTTTCAGTCTCTGTTTAAATGTACGTAATTACCGAGATGAAGCTTTGTGGGACGGTCAGAATTTTGACTGCGAAAAAAACAGATTGAATGAACCATTTGATGTAAACATCATATTCGCGAAATGTAATTGCTTTAAGCAAAATATGAATGCAATTAAAATTTATAGTATATGTCTCGACGAGATTTCAATGTTTGATTTACTCTACTTGCGGAGCATGCGATTCAATTTACATCGCTTGGAATCAGTTGAACCGGAAAATTAATGTCCAATAGTTTTTGTGTAAAATAATGTCGTCATTGTTTTTGTTTATCGGCATAAGGAGATCGGAATATCTAATAATGGCTAAATCATGGCATGTGATTAATTATCGACATGTATCGAGTTAATTAGTTAGATTAATCGTTAGTTCCCTTAGGAATCGCAAGCTATTAGCGATGCCCTGCTGATCTCTCGAGCGTTCCTAATATAAATTATTCACCACCTTAATAATACCGCCTTCGCAATTGCTCGTTGTTTTACAACCCGATGGCAGTCTCTTAGAGATTAACGTGAAAGATTCAAGCATTACGTAGAAATACTTTACAGTGCATTTCCAAGCGATTCTGCGATAAGGTGTTATGTACGCTTCCGAATACATCGTAGCATTAATGTACACGAAGCGTTAATATTATGATATTACAGGAGCGGAGAACAGCCTTTTCGTGCATCCGGCATGTAAATGAATGTAGAGGTAGATATGCAAATCGTACCGGCGAGTGACACCGACGTATTCTACGACTAACATATTTTGTGAGTACGCCGGATGATACGTTTGCGCGGATGACATTTTGGTTCAGCCGGTTTTAAAATGAAAATAAAAATAGATGACGCATATGACTTATTAACTCTATGACAGAACATGCTAATGACACTTCTAATAAAGATGAATAATTCATTATAATTTTTAAATATACGTGGATGCTAATGAGCCTTGATATTTTCGCATTATCTCAGTTGACGATTCCGTCCATTTATACAGAACGCACATGACTTTGTTTCAAAAAAGTATTCTATATTAAATAAGCATACCTATAATTAGTATTAGCAATTGAAAGCTTTTAATCACTTGAATAGATATGATTTTATCATCATGTTATCATTTCAACCTGATTATGTTCAACTTAGTTTTCGTATGTTCATCTTTGTTTGTTAAATCCCGAGTCTTCTATTTTTGCAGACTATTCATATCATTGTTGCGATCGTTTTTTTACATTGCTTGAAATAAAATATTATTCCGTTTTTCATCTGTCCATAGCTATCTTTAAAGTAAGAGCGAAATTAATTCTAAATCTGAATTTGAAGTCTGCATCCGTCGTTCCATCAGATAATCCGCCATTCGTGGATAGATATAATATTTTGGGAACAATCAATATCGAAATGAAAAAATAGTTTACTGTAGTCTTTTCGCAGAATTAAAGATTTTCAGAGGTGTCGTTATATTGAAATTTGTATGACAAAAACGGAACGATCAATAAAGAATATTGGTGATTGCCAATTCGACGAGGGAATTTCCTGATCAGAATTTCAAATTGAATCGAGGAAAGCAGAAATATTTCTATCACATAAAAATTGCAATAATAAAGGTACTGTTTTGAAAAATGACGTAAGAAGCTCGAGAGTGCTTGATTTAAAGTAGATGGGCGAAAAGAATTGTGGAGGCCGGGATGTTAAGCAGTCGAAACGACCTTTCTATAGCGATCCGCCTACATTTTTCTCTGCGTGAAAAAGAATAGTAACAGCCTCAGGTGGATTATCTAATATATGCAGAATGTCTTCGTAAAGTATTCTTATCGCTGTACCGTGGATTTCTCAATAATTGGAGAGCAGTTTTTTTTTTTAAATAAAATCTTAGAATAAGCAAGCTCTAAAATTCACCAGAATTTATTTTTTATACGCTTGAGAGTTGAAAAGTTATCAGTAGCTTGATAATCTTAGTTTAGATGAAAATGCACTCAATGTTTATCTAAAATACTTTCATGTGAAAGAATCGCGGGACACCTCTGGGGACACCTCGTACATGTAAACTCGCGCACGTAGAAGTCTCGTGCATAACGGCGTCGAGTAACACGCGAAATGCATTTCTGTTTCAGGAAGCGCGTACATCATCAGATGGAGTGCGCCGCAGTTGATGGTCGTGGCGGTGCAGTACATTCTCACGGGGCCCTATATGCCCCCCTACGTGCCCCAGACGGCGAATTAAGACGTCGGGAGAAAAGAAGTACCGTCGCGCCCGTTTGTCCGAGGTGAGGTCGTCGACGACACGACGAGGAGCCGGCAGTTCTGGGTTCCTAAAATATATCGTCGTGTACCTTTCGCGCGAAACGCGCTTTTTGCGGAGCGGACGGAGTACGCGGAATACTAGAGTACTAGTGGACAGGAAATACGCTTGCGAACGGGTAAATAGTTTACGACCAAACAGACACCGATCTATTCCGATCCGGAATGGATTTTGTTTTATGTATTGCCGATCGAATATTCTAACTGCGAGGTTTTCACGGCGACGCGACGTATTACGTAATAATTTTATTCTTACTTAATGCATGATATGAAAATTCCTAATCGTGCTCGATAGAGTCCGTTTCGTTATAAGCATGTCATCTAACTCTCTAACAAAATTGTATGAAACTTTTTGTGCGCAGGATCAATAAATTAATTTGCTGTATTTAATTAACGTTTACATATTTAATATTTAAACAGCTAAGTGTCGTCGATACTAATTGGCGACGAATTGTGATACTGAATCTTAAGTATTAATATCACAGAGTAAATACATTTAAAAATATGTGTGAATAATTTTAAACCAAGACACATGATATATTCGCAGCGAAAACTTAAACGGTTTCGTATTCGAATAAATTTACTGAGTTACACAGTATGGTTTTTTTAAGAGCTAGTGTCTGTGATATTTTTTTTTTAATAGTTAACAGACATAGAAAAATATATAATAATTTGATGAAATTTGATTCGATTTAGTTGCTTTAACATTTCCGATAGATTCATGTCGCGATATTTAGATGCACGTATCAAATAAAAAACCTACTGAATAAATATTCTATTGCGGTAAGTCTAGAATCATGGTTCGTTGTTCCGTAATATGCAGAAAAGTTCATAAACTAACTTGGCAGTCAAACGAAAGAATTGTGCGTTTTCTCGACGTGTGATTTACGTATTATATAGGTTGACGCACCTTGAGACCAACATGTTATACGCAATGAAGAAGCGTCCAAGAGTTTCCTCTAGAGAATAGGGGGAATTTGATTAATGCCTCGGCACGTGAAAAATAGCAGGGGCGCGGCCGCAACTCCTCGAAATAGCAAGAGAGGCAATGACGTAAGAGTCATTGAAAATATTTTCTCGCAACCTGTAAAAAAAAAAAAATGGTTGCATGCCTTCGAAAATATCCATTAAAAACTCTTCATAATGAAGTTATAAAGTGTAACACAAAAATATCCGTAGGAAAACATATAAGTATATATAATGTGTAGATAATTTTGCTGAAAATACGGACCTTGTATAAAAACAGGCTTTAATGCAATAATACGAGCGACAAGGAACAGAATAGCAATAAAAGTCATTGCTTTTTATACACATTTTGTTGTGCGCAGGTTGTCAGTTTTATGGACCAAAAATAAAATTTATTACAGATCAGGGCACATTATTGTCCGGTAAAATTTATATGAACTTCGAATGTTCGATCTATCACGGCGAGAGATTATTGCCTCGTGAAAATTTACGAATATTGTATGTTCATTAAATGTTCTCTCCGTTTAATTAAGAGTGTATACATATATTCCGCAGCGAGAACGCTCTTGGCAATTTTTAATTATCACATACGTCGGGACATTATTATTCGCTAATTAAACGTCTATATAAAATTCGCTCGCTCCGCGTACCTCAATACTGCACTGATTTCCACTACTGCCATCAAATAGCGCATAAGACTGATTCGATTAAAATTATAATATAAGATAGGGCCACTCTCGAGTTTACAGACTCAAAGAAGCTGGTATTACAACTCGCGATTTATACTCCTTTTGATTACCTGAAAATTATGATACTCATCTGGGTACTGTAATTGCGTGCACCCGTTAACGAAATAGTCTCGCTCGGTTATTACTGTAAGAGAATCGCTTTGCACTGTTATAAGCGCGCTACAAGCGCACGATTCCTATCGAAGAAACAATAGGTCGTGACTGAATTAATATACGAGCGTGAAATTAAATTACTTTATGTACAAAGAAACGAGTATATCGAGCAGCAACATTTCTCTGTAGCTGAAAGTCTCTGCGCGCCGCGGTTAATTGCTTCTTCTCATTCATTACTCTTTATATGCGCCATTATACATATCAGAACTTCGGCGTTTTGTACTCTATGTTAATTACATTTTAGTTATCGAACTTTATTAAGGGATTTTTTTTAGAACAGAATCATTCCAAGTTGTAATAATGTTCAACCGAATTGTAATGAATAATATTTGTTAAATTCTGATTACATATCTCTATTACGAACTTTTTCATTTAACAAGTATGCTTGCAGCAATTAAAAATTACAATGTTTTTTTCTGAACAAATAGAAGCCACCGCTTTTGCAAAACACAATTGCCTTAAAAGAAAAAGATATATCTGCCTTAATACACAACAAATAACATGTTAATCTTTTTACACCGAATACCGCTTCGAATTTGCATGAAAGCCATTCGTCATCCGATTAAGAACTATTTGTGCTTTACACGAAACAAGCCATAAATTAGTATAGAAAGTTTCGATCGCACAAAGAAGACTTCGACAAAGTATTCGATCGGAAAATCTCGCAAACAGCGAAACTTGTGTTGATTCAAGATTGAAAAGTTCAGCTGTATGTGTCCGACGAGGTTTCAAGGAAAAACGGAATGCAAAACTATATGCTTTTAACGGCAAAATATAGAAATCACGTTTCTATTATTTAATCTTTAGAGTAAGTACACTTTTAATTATCAACAAGCATGAACGGCGACATGTTTCGTGACGAACAAACTATTGATCTTGTTAAAAAAAGAAAAATAGACCGACCATCGGCGTATTCCGATCTTTCCCTCTCGGAAATAGCACAAACAGCAGCCGTCGCTTCTGTAACGCGACACGACGAGATTCGTTTCAGAGAGATCACCAGATTTGGATATCGAAAGGGTACACCTTGACCGCCGCTTTATCTTGATCCCTTTTCCGGAAATGCGCGCGCGGACGAACGGGCGCGAAGCTTACACGCGCGCCCCACGAAGCGACGACCGCGCAACACGCCGAAATATACAATCTCGTGCCGATATAATTGTACAGCGCGACGGAGGTATCATTCCGTAATCTATGTAGTCCCGGTCGGATGGGGGATTATGTTAAGCGATGCGTGAGCGCGGCCACAGTCCATGGCAATCCAGGCGTAACAGAGATACTGCTCGGTGACGTCGTTATACTCGCACACATGCGAAGTGCTTGTATACGCATTCCGCGATTATGTGTCGTACATAAACGTACGTATATACATTACACGACCGATGTATATTTGTATATCATAGACGATATGCCCGTGCAATGCATTACCGCGACTACAAAAGGACGCGTCCAGGGATGAATCTATCTAGATACTAATGAAACGAGCTCCGCGTGCTCACGATTATCAAACTGATTGTCTTATATGATGAATTCCGGCTATAGTATTCGTCAAGTTGTCAAAATTGTCGAAAGAAATCTTCATCATAATTTTCCAAAATTTATCAGATATATGTTGCAAGTAAGCGTCAAGCTCAGGGTCGGATGTACGATTTTGTGGCCCCTAAGCTATGATCTTAAGAAGGCCCCCTCTTATTAACAAAAAATACATTTTTTTTAATCTTTTCTATACTAAAGAGGCCCCCTTATAATGTGAGGCCCCTAAGCTGTAGCTTATCTAGCTTATGTGTAGATCCGGCACTGGTCAAGCTAAAGCTCCGTTAAAATGAAATCGGTGTCAAATTCAATAAAAAGGATAATTTTTCATTATTCATTCACATATCAAATTCTGGGACAGCAAATTTTATATAATTTGTATTTTAAAAGTATTTTAAATTTATTTATTAATTTATTTCAATGTTTTTGATAGAAAAGAATAAAATATAAATTTAGAAAGCGCTATTAAAATGTCATATACTCTAGAGACACTTGCATTAAAAAAATAAAAGATGTATTCTATTTTAAAATTATTAATTTAAATATCTGAGAAGTACCTAATCATTCGTCCCTGAGTGCATAGTCGAATTAATCGCGAGGATAAGCCACAATATTACGATTAATAAGCAGAAAATGTGGTGGTACGCCGATACATGCTGTCACCGCGATTGTCAGGAATGGCATATCACATACATATGTATACCAGATGACGCGTTTTTCGAGCAGTGTATTACGGTTCGCGGGACAATTGTGGGATTCATCGCGCGAGCGAGATTGAATACCGTTAAACATAGAGAGAGAGAAAATGTTGACATTTTTTTCGTGAATATATTGCTACACGAATGGTGCATTTTGCATTATATATTAACAATAAGTTATATACTATATATATTAGACTATCTCGAAAATGTAAATTATCAGAGCTATAAAGCTGATAACTGGGATTTTTACTTTTTTTGCGCAAGAATTGATTGTCAGCACATAACGATTTAATGTGCAATCGTGTGTTTTCGTTATTGTTACATGTTTCTTTTTCATTTTTGAAATAAATAATAATTGTTATTATTATTCAATTGTCATTAGCGGTTAAAATTAATATTACGTTCTTTTATTTACAGTTGATTGTTTAATTTTTTTTAATAAAAATATTCAATAACGAGTGTTTACAATTTATTTGAGCAGTTTAATAAAAAAAATTAAAATACTGTTGATAATTCTGATGCACTATAGAAAGGTTTTATTTTTTCAAAAGTAATTTGTTTTTGCTAGTTTTTGCTTTCTATTTAACTTGGCAAAAATGTCAATACGCGCGTTTATATGTAGGCTGTTCTACAAAGAGACAGACCAATCGTATCATCAGTTAATAACAGATTTATTTGCATAAGATTGTGCATAAACTCAAATCTAGTAGTTTTATGTTTTTATTATCAATCTCTATTATCAATATTATCAGTAGTAGATACTTTTACATTTACATTGTATTTGATTATTCTGTATTGATTTGTAATATTCTTTACGCCCCAACATCTGCGTTTGATTCTCATGGCTTCTTTTTCCGTTGGTTTATATTTAAAATATGCACTATTCAAAATATAATTTAAATCAATATCTCATTTTATAGAAAAGACTCTATTCGAATCTAAGACCATCTTATATTTGCGTTATGGAATAACGGAATCTGTTCGAATTTTAAATGAGATACATTTTACGACGCTATTAAGTATTAAACCAGAAAGCTTGATACTCTTCGCTTCTACGAGAATTTATGTCCGTATTCATTATTGCCACAGTAAAAAGACGCTTCTTTAAGAAGCTTCGCCTGTCTAAGATGAAGCAGCAATAAAATCTCGGTGCTGCGTGATCATTTTCTAAAAAGTGCTGTGTACACAGATTTTACCTTAAAGCTTATCGCACTCTATCAAAAGTGCAGGAGATATGAAATATTAAAAAAGACTTTATTATCTATTTTTATTTATTTTTTTAAATCTATTTTAGTTTCTTAATAATTTTGTAATTTAAAATAATATTATAATATATATTACAGATAAGCAATACTATCAATATTATTATTAATATTTCCATAAAAGATTTTACGATAATCATTCTTTTATTATAATGAGAGAGAAGAGTAGCAGCAAATTTTATAATAGAAAAATGTAAGCCAAAATGACGTATTTATTTTATTTCAGTACTAAAAAAACAAAACTACAAATGTACTTTCAATCCCGTAATATTACATCGAAATTAAAGCATCCGCTTTGATATTTTTGCATTTCCAGAAAGAATTTAGATATTGATTTCCACATATTAAATCAACATATATCGGGATTTTATTTTCTTGCTGTTACGAAACATAAAATAAAAATCCTATTTGTTTTATTTTCATTTTTGTGATTACGTCGTATTCATGTGCTGGAATAAGAAATTTAAATTTGACTATTGATTTTTACACTGCAAAGCTAAAACAAATTCTATTCTAACGCTAAAATTTATATTTCGTATAATCATGTTCTTCATTACAATGTCCTACTTTTCCTTTAATTGTAGACATTAGAGTTTATCTTCTCTAACGAAACTTATTCCGCGCGACATTTTCTTGTCTCATAGAACAAAGAGCGAGGAGAAAAGGCAGGCAAAGAAATAGTGATTGTTAAATTTTACGATATACTCTTCATATCCTCCTTATTATGTAATCATGGCGAAAGAAGTAATGAATGAATTTCATATATTTTTTATTCTCAAATCTTGGGAAGTAGATTGTTTATGTAGCATGTTGCTTACTACAATATTGAAAATCCACTCGTGCTTTTCGTAACACGAATTAAATATTATTTCGTCGCGTTTCAATTGTACACATTGCAAATTATACTATATTCTCTTATTAAGTTTTATTAGCTATCTTCGATTTAAGCTTAGTTTGAATCGTTAATATTATTCTCATCGCGGTTACTATTTACGCATTGCTATAATTTTTCGTAATATCGTCAGCTATTATTGTTGCGATACTAAAGCTATTTTAAAAATCTCCGTTGTGTTCGCTACAATGCACGGTACTTCCAACGGTACTATTAATGTAGCTTAAACGATTGTCATCATATCCAGCGTGCGGCAACGTGGAATGTATTATATTTCCATGAGAAAAGCTCGCGTCCCCTGTGATATTGCCCGAATGCGCGCCCGTGAAGATTTACCTTCGTCCCAACGAAAACATTTATTCTGCATTACGTAAAAGTACCTTTACGTTGTAATTTCTGCTACGTAACTCGCGCGTCTTGTAATATTTGTTCCGACCGGTAAAACCCTCTTCGCACTACTTATCCTTTCTGTCATTACATTCCAGCCAGATGCATTGTGTCGTAATATCGGTATATTTGATTGCCGCTGCTGTAAATTGCTCTTGTGACATCTGGATTTCAGCACGTAATTGTAGCGTAAAAAGAATCTTTTTGTAGGTATTTTATATTAGACACTGTTCGCGGATAAAGCGACGCGCAGTTCAGTCATGTCTGTTTATCCGACAGCAGACTAATGCTCTTCACATCGACTCATGTGTAAGGCGATAAAACGCAATTGCAATTCCTCGCAATCTCAAAACATTTCACGCCCAGTTTACCACGATCCGTCCGTAACGGGTTGCGGCCGCCTAAATATTGTCTCGGAATGAATTCAATCCACGTTTTATTTTCATTTTCTTTTGTCCTCGCTTTAACAGCCCCGTTCATCGCGGGGAAGCGCAATTTTCCGCGTGAAAAGCGATCGCGTTCAAGAGATGTAAGAACGATTAACCGCGCTGATGCGAAAGTTTGTCTGCATTATCGAAACTATTATCAGGAAGTTTAACTGTGGGTAAGTTATAGTCGAGCGTCTAAAACTATACTCAAGAAATTTATGAATAACAAAGGAGGCGGAAATAAATTAAATTTTAAAAGCAATTTATATTGATTAAGTTTATATACCAATTTTTTTCTTATACTTTTATCATTAACTTCAGTAAATAAGCAACGTAAAAATATGTCATGGTTAAAGATTGTTTCACGCACTTATTTTTTGAAGAAATGCATCACACGTATCGCTTTTTTGAAATAGTTATCGTAAATATAAGCACAGATCTATTAGCTATTTATTAACGTATCGTGATTCCGCGTTGTTGCTACAAGGTACAGGTATATTTTTCCGACGATACCGAATTTCTTATGATTCAGGCGCCCCTTAAATTCGCTGACGTGCGCCAGTTGTACGATACCACTACGTGAAATTGGTTGCCAGGTCGGTTTTTTATCCGCAATATACGACGCACGTGCGCGGACGTATCTTTGGAATGCCGCTTCAACGAGCACAGTGCACGCAAAATCATAGAACAGCGAAATAACGGGGAGAAAGGGACGGCGGAAGAGGGAGACAAAATAGAGAATTCCGTTATACACGACGTGCATCTTCACTTTACTCTCCCTGCTTGGCTCTCTCCCTGCCTCATTTAACACAAGCCATTCATAATAAGATGAAGCCCGCCAAAGTGTTGTCCTTAAACCAACCCAATCTGTTGCGTTTTGCATCTCCTTTATTTCATTCACATTCTTCCCGTTTATAAAATATTCCGAAATATAGTTTTATTCTGCTTAAATAAGCGCTATATTAAGCTGACATTTTTTTATGGATTGATTTAAAATATACTTCACTGCGATATATACTTGTATGAATATAATATTACACTATTGGGATCTCCATTTTTGTCGAGAAAAGATGAACTCTACCTTATGTATCCGTAGATGAAAGGGAGCGTGCTCCGGCAAGTTTTCGGAGCAGCATCTAATAGATAAAACGTCTGCACACGCGAATCGTTCGCCCACGTGGATAACGTTCGCTTCTAAGCTAAATTTTTATCTATGTACCATTTTCCTGTGACATAAATGAGAGTAGTGTTTCAACCGCGCGCGTGATGCACACGTAAAATCGTAGAACATCACACGTGTAATAGGGAACGCGAGAGATGATGCGGGGCTAGTTATATCGAGCATGAGCG